CAGGCGGGATCTGTGGGAGATAGGAGTTGAAGGAGACTGGATTTTGTTGGCCCAGGACAGGGTCCGGTGGAAGGCTTTGGTTAATTCGGTGATGAACCTTCGGATTTGGTAAGCCATCTAGTTAGTTTATGACCACCATATTCTTGTTTTACATTTTCAATAAAATTGCTATAACAGAAGCTGCATATTTCTGAATATCTGTTACCATAAATAAGTTCAGACAGAACCCCATATTTTGTGACACCGTTGTCAATGCAGCTCATAAGCACAAGCTTCCACGACCGTTAAAAATAACAATGGCGTAATGTTTATGGGGTATACACAGATAGATTGGCAATCTCATAAACTTTATTTTTTCCCTCTTAAACACTCACGTGTTATGAGTACATAATTTGGTGTTTTACTTTCAGGAGAGCTTTCAAGCGGTTTTACACCAAATTCATCGAGACAGCTTATCCTATTGAGGACATCTACATTGAATAGAAGAGGTTACTAAACCCTGCCATGACACCATGAACCCCAGCCACACCTGCTTCAACATTCATACACCCTTCTTCTATTTGTCAGCTTCTAAGAGAAAATCCTAACGGTTTACATTAAGACAGGAGGCGGGGAGTTGGACGGTTGGTACGGTCCAATTTGAATTCCAGATAGGGATATCAGAAATGATAATGGAGTGGCATGAACCTCAGTGAGAATGCTGGGTCATTTTGGTTCTCTCATAGTCTACAAACGGACAGCTCGCACAGATTTATGAAAAATGAAAATCGAATTTAGTCAGGACTGTAGAGCGGCACTGCCCCTAGCTTGTTGCTGTTACTTACATATAATCAAAGTTGTGAGCCACAGTTGCATTCCTTTTCATATTTAACCTTTCAATCAAATTGACTGTGGGTCGCACTAGCACGCCACTAAACAATTAAATGAAGGGTTTAGGTCTGGCCAGCAGCCCCATTGTAAGTGATAAGGGTTAAAGGGTGGAATTAGTTTTTTTTATTAAACAATCTGATTACTATCTCCAAGAAAAAGCCAAACATTTCGTAAAATTGCTATTAGTTTATGACATTTCAGAAATCAGTGAATTTTCATGATGATAATGCAATAAAACTCAGAAATACATTCTGTGGGTGAAGTTTTACGTTACTTAAACTAACGCTTTCGCAGTAAAATTAATCTAGTGGATTTCAGCATTGGGTTGAAGTGGGATGTTTTCTGCGATTATGACACCCACAGCAGCGAAGGATGTGCGATAAACCAGATTGAAAGGATAGTAAGTGGAATGCATATTTCCCAGTAACAACACTAAGGTTAAAGCCGGTGGTACACATAGATACCATATTGCTGATGTCTCTGTATTTGATGAATTTCGACCATCTTAGGGTTGTGTAGATCTTGATATATAACTAAAAATTATTAAAAGGCATTCTGTCCCATTTACTGTACTTTGCCCACTTTTGACCTTGATAAAAATGTGTCCTGATTTGAAAACAGATATTTACTAAAATAAGGATCAAACATAATTCATGGGGTCTCCAGATAGACACATCTTTCCAGCTTAGGCGTCTTGAGTGACTGTGTGAATCTCGTGTCCCTTCATACTGTACAGTTAATGTAGAATATTAATTCAAAACACCAAATTATCATTTCAAATGATCTGTCAAAATTATTGATAATGTTATACCTGTTGGACCATCTTCAGTGTATTTTTCTTAATGTGTAAAACCTTACGCGACAGACTGAGAAGAGTAGACGACGATGGTCTGAAAGTGACAAAAACACATCTATCACCATTATAATTTATTCAGATTTGTTGGCATATTGAATGAACACTTACATTCTACAGAATGTGAAAAAAAAAAGAATGTGATTTTAAAAATTATGTATGTAAATAGCAAATTAGAGGAAGAGAACACAGACCCTAAGATTAGTAACATTGCCTAACAAACCTTAACATTCCAGCCCTCATATTTATTAATGCTGTATCATTCACTCCATTAAATATTCTAAATCTCTATGGAGGATTACGGTGAAGAAATGTAAACAGTCTATCAGCAGCTCCATCTACGCTCTGATCAGAAGTATCACACCGAATGCACACCTGAGCATTCTCATCTTTCAAAATAAGAACTATTGTGTAAGATTTGAGGTTTTCACAGCGATGAGTATGAAGATTTCTGTCTTCTGGGTTCTTGCGCTGTGTAGTCTGGTCGATGCTAACCAACGTTTCAGAGGTCATACTGCCTCCGTCATCAGGGCGATGAGTATGAAGACTTCTGTCTTCTGGGTTGTTGCGCTGTGTAGTCTGGTCGATGTTAACCAACGTTCCAGAGGTCATACTGCCTCCGTCATCAGGGCGATGAGTATGAAGACTTCTGTCTTCTGGGTTGTTGCGCTGTGTAGTCTGGTCGATGTTAACCAACGTTCCAGAGGTCATACTGCCTCCGTCATCAGGGCGATGAGTATGAAGATTTCTGTCTTCTGGGTTGTTGCGCTGTGTAGTGTGGTCGATGTTTACCAACGTTTCAGAGGTCATACTGCCTCCGTCATCAGGGCGATGAGTATGAAGATTTCTGTCTT